TGGCATTCGAATCTGCCCATGATGTTGCTAATCCCGCTCCTCAGTGGGTGCTGCACTGAGATTATTAAGGAAGGTGAAAAAAGAGGCCAACATCTCGAAAGCGACGGGTTATATCGTTATGCAATTCCGGGTAAAGTGACCACTTTTCCTCGGAATTATTTTTTATTTCCTTCTTTTCGGCATGGCCAGAGTTTGTCTGGTACTAGAGGGCTTGGAAGGGTTTCCAACTTTGATAGTAATCTCTTTTGGTCTCAAAAGGTCTGGAGATGGGAGGCTTGAGGATCCAGAAAGACGGGCGGGGCGGACGGGATGAGGGCCCTGCTTGTGCACAGGACGCGAAGGGGTTCATGCGCTCTCGATCCCGACGCTCCGTGATGGAGGGGACCGTTGGGCTGCGATACGGGTGATGACGCCCAAGTGCCGTCAACATCACAGATATCGTTCTGGCCTCTCGTTAGGTTATCGGTATTGTCACATGTCAAAAGGTTTCATTCCGCTACTTTGAATACAACTGTCCGGAAGCTGATCTAAGGGAGCGAGCAGCAAATCATATGATCTCCTGGGGCTGCAGCCGCACACACCTTCCACCTGGGGCGCGAATAGCCTGATTTACGTAATAAAACGCCACTGACGTAATCGATTCACGCATCGCATCGGGAGAGCTCGCCAGGCTAACAGCCAATGCTATCATTACCATCTGGGCTGACCTTTCCACCCGCAAATGATATTCGTTAATCAAAAGCGAACGACACGCAGGTCATAATGACCTGGAGGCCGACTTGATTCCATGGGAGGTTGCACAATATAAAAAGGTGGTATGGTGTTTTCCCATCTTCGCTCCATAAACGGACCCTAATCGCTGAGTGGGCGATTCGAGGGCGACTTAGGCGTGCTGGACGACCATCACAAGGCAAGTCGTTTGGTTGGCTAGCAATCGACGTCGACCGGAAGGACTACTGCACTACTAAGCTGCAGGTATCACATGCTTGCGAGGCATTCTGCATCGAGTTGATCGGCACATTCGCCACACACTTTGTTCTGGTCGTTTGGGTTTGGAAGCAGGCCGCAGGGTTGGAATGCTCCGGTTGGGTGGGATTTTCTTTTTCTGCTACAAGCCAGCCCTTGCGAGCGCACGAAACATAGCAGAAAAGAAATAAAAAAGGGCAATACACTCAGTGTGTAGGCAATCGAATAGGACAGTCTCGAATAAAACCCAAGATAATGATGGAGAGCAGCTGGTACGGAGACCCAGTTTGTGTGTTGTTGTCGAGGGCGCGTGTTCGTCTTGCCTCGTCGTCGGCTACAGTTATCGCCACATCTAGCCTTTGTTGTTGGCGACCCACACGCCACACATCGGTTCGAAAGCCCATTTTGCCTGTTCCTTCTCGCAATGGTTCGTGAATTTGTTGTGTGCTCCAAGAAATGAAGTTATGTCGAGCTTTCGCCACCGCTCGGCGAGCACATCCCGGCGCCGGTGGGGACCTTTCCAACAGGGGGGCTGCTACCCAGCCTGCAGCACCCATCCCTATCCGTCCAAACCAAAAGATGCAGGCCTCGCGGCGGCTTGTGTGGAATTTGACGTTCTCTCCCAAACTGGCGACATCTCAAATTTTCGGTTGGCTGCTGGCTTGCTTTCTCTTTTTTTGCTCCGCGGTTAAGGCACAGATGTCAGCTATCCCAACAGAGACGGGCGATTTGCCCACTCTCCATCCTGCGCGCTTTGCCTGCGCAAACAACGGATGACCAAAAACAGGCAGGGGTGGTCAGCGCGAGCTGCCAGTCCGTCAATCACTCGTACCCATTCGCCCCCGGGGCTGACCCACGCTTGAAGCTCTTTGAGGGATGGTGGGCAAGCACGGCTTGTCATGCACGAACGTACAGATGAGCAGGTCAATAGGAGGTTCCGGGTTCAGCGATTCGTGACTCTGTGTTGTATGGACTAGTGGGCTAATACATAGCGGTGCATCCGGCTTCTGTAGCGATACTGAGCTCATAATTCCCTATCCGGATCCCCCTCGTCGGGC